AAATGGGTTAGGAAATGTTTCCTTGTCCTCTGTATTCTGAAAAAGTTTACATGTGATTGGTATTACTTCTTTTTTATTTCCTCCCCAAATTCATTATTGACCTGGACTCTATCAGAGTGTCTTTATTGGAGAGCTGCCTATGGGAACTGGCTATCACAGGATTCCTCTATGTAGATTTCTGGAATTCTTTTTGGACTAGTTCCTGCTTTGTGATATTTTGCCCCATAAATTTCAGTTGCCTCAGCCTCTTCAGGTTTTGATCACTTTCCTCTCTGCTCAGTGTGATTGTTGGACCCAGCCAGCAAGTGCTGGCAGAGCAGAAAGCTAGGGTGGTTTTCACCTGTCTCATTTCTTTTCTCTCAGTAGTCACGGATTTGCTGTTCATTACCTGTATGGTTTGATGTCTGAAAACAGTTCTTTCATATATTTTGTCTTGTTTTCTAGTTGTTTATGCTAGTAGGCCTGGTCTGTTACTATCTCCTCTGTCACGACTGAAGGTAGAAATGTATAAGTAACATTTGAACTTTATAATAATGTAATTGTGAATGTTGACCTAACCAAAATTAGGGTGGAAGGTTAGAAAGTAGACTTGGGATGTATGGTTAGCCTGGGTAAAAGAAACCTATATTGTCAATTTGTATGATGTGATAATATGTAGAACTGAAAAAGCAAGAAGTAGCCATACAAGCATCTTATTTAATGATGTGATAGTAAATGACAAAATAATGATCTAAAAGAGTCTAACAGGATTATTTCCAGGGAGAGGCAACTAGTTCAGGGAAAGAAGAAAATGAGAGATTATTCTTTTCCCCAGTAAACCTTGTAGAACTGTTTGACTAGAAACATATACAGAAAATTATCAGTGAAACTACGGAAATCATAGGAAAGAAGGTATAATAGTACTGGTATTAGTCATAATCAAATTTAAGATCAAACACATTTTAAAAGGGAAAAGAGGAATTTTTTAATTGCTAAGTGTCCATAGAGTCATGGAATTTTATTTACTTAACAGTAGCTCTTTGAAGTATATTGAGCTGATACAAATACCAGGAGAAACTGTATCCATATCCATAATGGAGAGAATTCTAACTTCTATATTTTAGAGTTTGATAGATGAAATAGACCCAAAAAAAGGAAATGGAAAAAAAAATTTTTTTGAAGATTTTATTTATTTGTCAGAGCACAAGCAGGGAGAGCGGCAGGCAGAGGGAGAAGCAGGCTCCCTACTGAGCAAGGAGCCCGATGTGGGACTCGATCCCAGGACCCTGGGATCATGACCTGAGCTGAAGGCAGATACTGAGAGACTTGGGCATCCCAGGAAATGGAAAATTGAATAACACGATTAGCAAGCACGTGTGCTTGTACATGCACACAACTTTGTACAAATTAATATAAAACTTTGTTGTTTTTTTTTAATTTATTTATAATCTCTACACCCAACATGTTTGGTGTTTTGTTTTGTTTTTTTGGCAGCAGATCATATATTTGTTTAAACAGATAAGCATTATTGTTTTTAAATCTGTATCAGATAATTCCAGTAGCTAAAGTCTGTGAGGAATGTTTCTACTGGTTGTTCATGTTGTTTTATTTCTTTGTGTGCTTGGTTATATCTATGCCTGCTTTTTGGTTGTTGTCCCTGAATTATTTGTAGAGTTGTCCAGGGCCTAAGGTATTTTTGCCCTCCTCTAGAGAAACTTTCATTTGTCTTCTGCTGGATCCTATAAACAATGCTGTTAGAGGTGCCTCAAGCATAATGGGCGCTGGTGGGGCCAAGTATAAAGTTCTAAGGTCCCTAGGATGCAAATTTTCCGGAAGGTTGGTTTCAGCAACTTCTTCAGGATGTTTTTCTTCTATCCCCATTTTTCTTGTTCTGACCTGTCTGTAGTTTGTTCTTATCCTGAGACTGAAAGAGTCTTTTGGGGGACGGGCTGGGTCTCAGCTTAACATGGGGTTGAGTTCCCCAAAGACTCTTCACCTTGGGCTAGCCCTGGGCTTTGAATGCTGACCCTCCCTTCCCATTTGTTGTTACACAGATTTACACTTACTCTCTGGATTTTGACTTTTATATAGAAGTTGGCTTGGGACTTCCCCACTGCAGATCATTACTGTTTCTAAGATATTGGTTAAAAAACAAAACTTTATATAGTATTTTTCATTGCTTCTAGAAGGAGGAAAAGTTAAGGCTGTGCATGCATTTATTGGAAAACAAAGAACAAAAAATAAATTAGCTTATTTCTAGGTTAAGAAACCAAAAAAGAATAGTAAACATTGTGACAGTGGAAGCAGGGATTAAGCAGAATTGGGTGAAATAGAAAAAAAGTAGCATTTCAATAAAAGTTAGAGCTGGTTCTCTGAAAGACAATAAAATAAACTCTTGGCAAGTCTCATCGGAAAATAAAGAGAAAAAACATAAAAGATACATTAGAAATAAAAGTGGGACCATAACTACACACATGAAAAAAAGTGATTACACTAGAGACTATAAATCATCATAATTAATGGTTTGTCAGTTTATCGTCAGATTAACACTATTAAAAATATTTTACACATTAAAACTGCCATATGCCACAGGTGCCATATTTTGCATTAGTTTGATATATAACACACAATAATATATTTAAAGAAAAATTTCCCACTTGTACTTTTTCATTTGACGCTATATTCCTAGAAAATTAAGTTTAGTATACGTGTTTCAGTCAAAAAGTAAACCACATGTATTTTTCGTCTCCCGTTTTTAGTCTTTCTCCCTTGCTTATCTCTTTGTACTGGCTTATTAATGTTGTGTCATTGGGTTTGTGGAGTAGGTATTTCTGGTGGTGTGTGTGTGCTGGAGCAGCTGTCATGGAGTGCATGCTTTTCCAACGTTTTCTGGAGCCTTGAAAAGTTAAGATTTTTTTAAAAGAAAAATTAACCGTGCTAAATTCTCTGTTCTAGAGAGTAGCTTGGCGTTCATTTGGCAAATATTTATTGAGTGCCTAAAATGTGCATTTCTAGCTTCATATTTCATCCTGGAGAAAGACTTCAGGTCATGCAAAAGTCACACGAGTTACCAAGTCAGCTGTTTTATATGCCTCCTACTCACAAGTCAGTTCCAGTATGCCAAATAGGACCAGTTAGCTGGAAGATTCAGATTTTTATTTTATTATTTTTATTCAGATTTTTGAATGTGGAAATCAAATGGTATGGGTGCTTGTGTCTTCCAGGACCACTAAGAGTTATGTCTGAATATTTAAGAATGGGATTTTTGGAGACCTTATGATACTACCAGTAGAAGCTGAGGAACATAAAGAGAAGTCTCACTTTCTTAATTGCCTTCAGCATTAATCTGAGTGTTGACAAATTCGAGGGTTTTTATTTTTGTGTTTTACTTATGTATGAAAAGATGAAAGTACCTTTATGTTAAAAGCATAGCAAGATTTCAGGCTTTTGAATACTGTCTCCACTCTACTTTGTTCCTGCTTTTTTTCTTGATGACATCATTTCTGTTAGTCCCTACTCCTATATTCTGATAGATACAATTTCCTGTTTCTGGGATCTCTTCATATCCACTTAGATATGATCTTTCATTTATTATTAACTATTTATGTTTTAGGTGGGGAGGGGCACAGGGAGAGAGAGAATCTTAAGCAGGCTCTACACCCAGCATGGAGCCTGATGTAGGGCTTGATTTCACAACCCTGAGATCATGACCTGAGCTGAAATCAAGAGTCGAACATTTAGCCGACTGAGCCACCCAGGCGTCCCTATTTTTTGATTAGTAGTAATAATAAGTGACTTATTGAATGCTTATGTGTAGGGCACAGTTTTAATCACTTTATAAATGTGTATCTCTTCTAACTCTTACAGAAACCCTCTTAATAAGGTACCGTGTTTCCTATTTTATAGGAGAGATGACTGAGGCAGGCAACTCACATAACTTATGGCCAAGGTCTCTCAGATAGTAGAGAGGAGCCAAGATTTAAAGCCAGGCAATGTGATTCCATAGCTCTTATTCAGGCCACCAGTAGCCCTGGCATTAGCAGTAGGAATAAAAGCAATATTGTAAGGACAAGAAAGGGGAAAAAATTACAACAGTGTAATTGCTAGTGTTTATTGAGGGATTACTGTGTGCTATTCATGATGATAATGGCTTTATGAGAGTTACTTTACTTTTACCATTATGCCTCACACTTTAAGATCATTTTCATCTTACTATTGAGGATACTGAGGCATAGAGTTTCATTAACTTGCTTAAGTCCACATGGCTAGTAAGTGTTGGAAACTAAAGTCAAACTCCTGAGCCACAGTATCAATGGATTGTTGTTTATTTGCCCATTTATATTCCTTTTAGATTGACAGTGAATTAAAGAATAAGTACTTCATTAATCTTCTAGCACATAGTAGGTTTTCATTAAATATTTATGGATTGTAATATATAAACCTATGTTTAGATGAGATAAGTTATACTCTTTGCCTCTTACACAGCACCCTGGAAGCTTTCTTTCCTGTCAACTTTGCTAGACACTATAGGGAATTACCACGGTTGTATTTTTTTTTTTATTACAGAACCTTTGGTGGTTTTTTTTTTTTTTTTAAAGATTTTATTTATTTATTTGACAGAGAGAGAGATAGCGAGAGCAGGAACATAAGCAGGGGGAGTGGGAGAGGGAGACGCAGGCTTCCTGCCGAGCAGGGAGCCTGATGTGGGACCCGATCCCAGGACCCTGGGATCATGACCTGGGCCGAAGGCAGACGCTTAACGACTGAGCCACCCAGACGCCCCTTTGGTGGTGTTTTAAGTTTTAGTGTTAAAAGTGTCTGTGCTAAGCTCTAAAAAAATAAGTATTTTAAAAACTTTTATCTTAAATTTATTAAAAATATTTTAAGCAATTAAAAGATTTAGGAAAAGGGAGATGTAACAAATAACCACATACCTGTCATCCAGAATGATAATTGGTTTTCATATAGCTTATTTCTTTCCTTATTTAATGCTAACTTCTATGTTTGTTTTGTGCTTAAAGCCATATCCAGAAGACCCAGCAGTTTATAAACCACTCTCCCAGGAAGAATTGCAAAGGATAAAGAATGAGAAAAAACAGAAACAGAATGAGAGAAAACAGAAAATATCAGAAAACCGCAAACATTTGGCTAGTGTACGTGTTGTACAGAAAAACCTCGTCTTTGTTGTAGGTCTGTCTCAGCGCCTAGCAGACCCAGAGGTAAGTCCTCTTCTGTTTTCTTTCTCAACTTGACATTTTTTTTTCTTTTTTGCCTATCTTATTTGGAAATAACAGCTAACCTTGCCTATTTGCAGGATTCCCCTGAAATTATTAAAACTTAGGAGAGAATGGGAAATGATTTTTTAATTATCTCTAAGAATCCAATGATCAGTTGTGATCTTAGGCAAGTGTCTTAATCTTTCTTGGCCTCATTTTCTTCAGTTGTAAAACGAGGCAGTTGAACTAGATCTCTGAAATCTCCTTTAGTGCTAATAATCTATGAAAGTTGGATAATGGTTCTATTTTGCTATTCAGGCTAACATGTGACATGACTACTCGGTTTCTTTCCTCTTTTCTGCAGCTATATAAGGATCACGGTGGACATGCAGTTACATGAACCCACTAGAGATCTGTATTTTTTTTTAATCCTGTTCACATAGTGATTCTTAGTTATTGAACAGTTATAGACCTGCTGCTCCACATTCATTTTAAGCCAATTTTGGGGAAAGAATTGATTGAAGGAAAATAATGGACCAGGTTCTTTGTCATTTGTTTGGAGGCAGGGGAGGCCTTAATCCTTTTGTTCATAACCTCTTTTTTTCTCCTTTCACCACCTGCATTGAAGAGTAATGTTGAGCTTATAACTTTCCCTGATACCCTTGGATGTACATCTGCTAATTTTCAGTTTCTCATGTAGTAGGAGGTGCTGACTAGATTGATGGGAGAGCAGGTAGAAGCTGATTGACAGCCAGAGTGTTTGCTTCAGTAGGAGAGAGTTGGATTTGGGGGGGTCTACCAAAAGTACTCCTTGAGAAGGGTTTTGGAGTAATGCTCATCATCATGGTACCCTAAGAGGGAGGATTATAGTGAATATGCTTAGGGAGGTGGGACTCTTCAGACTTGGCTAAGTGGGCAAAGGCCCCCGCGGAAGGAAACTTAAAGGAGTCTAAAAATTGATTTTGTAAAAATCAATTTAGAGAGAATAATACATATTTATTAATGACGAGTTTACTTTGTAATTGAGGCTGTAAAGGGCTTCAGGATCAGTAGAAGAGAAAGTCAGGGAGACCTTACTAAGAAAGCCTTTATCGTTGGCAATAAACACAGAAGCAACTCCAGAATTACTTGGACTTAAGTCCGGGGTTACTGGCATCAGTGGGCAGCATGAATCCTTCAGGAAACGATGTTCTTTCCAAAGCCAAAGGGGGCTGATCTAGAGATCTACAGGAAAAGACTTCAGTAAGAGCTGTTAAGGATGAGAGCTCATTTTAGGCCTATGACTCAACCTCAGCAGCCAGTTCTTGTTTTTAATTCCTCAGGCAGGCAAAATCCCACTTCCCCTGTGACCATTTTCTTGAACACCACTACAACTTTATACACCAGTCCTTCTGTCTTCCCCTTTCAGCTCTACCTTTTTTCTAATCAGAGGGCACTTCTTGCCTCTGCAGGTTTTTTACTTTATCTGTCTCTGTTTACTCCTACTAATCTTATTGATTAGAATCTACTTTGGCATTTCTGAAACTGCTATTCTAGTAAACTAATGGAACTTTTATTTTGATTTGACGACTCTTGAATATGCATGTACTTGATTTTGTTAATACATCCTGCCTGGATCCTGTCACCTATAGTACTGGAGGCATATGGGGAGCAGCCCCTGAAAGCTGGCTAAAATTAAGCCATAGTCTCAGTCTGGTGTTTGGATTATAGGTTTTCTACCTCCTCTTTTAGATTCTGTGATTTGTTTTTATTTACTTACAGAGGTTTCTTATTTCCACTTCAAATGACATGACTCCAGTAACATTAATCTGAAGAACTATTACACAAAAAAAATTAATCTAGGTGGTATCTAGTGAGAGAGGGGTACTTTATCATGAATCTAAATGTGCCTTGAAAAAACACTCTACTTGTTTTATACTTTTGAAATCATTATTGCCTGGTGAGAGGACAGTGAATTTTTTTAAACATTTATTTCTCTCATTTATTTCTCTTGAAACTCTAGGAAGACCAAAGACCAGTGTTTTATTTATTCAGTCCTACCACTTCGAAATAATATAACAAATTCTCTTAATTTATTGTATAATCTTTTCAGTTTGGAAAACTTAAAAGTTGGCTTTATTAGAAAACTTGGTTTCAAGTTGTTAGTGTAACTTTCAGGTCAAAGAAGATCTCTATTTACTTATTTTTGGACGATGAACAATTTGATATTTGACTGAATTCCGATTAGCAAAACAGGAGAGTTTAGGGAAAATTCAGGCTTATTTGAAAATAACTTTTGTGCATCAGAAAACTTAATACCAAGATTGATTGTCAAATGTATTCCTCTGTTGATCAATAAAATATATATAATTTTTAAGGTTTTATTTAAGAGAGCGTGAGCTCGAGTGGGGGAGGAGTAGAGGGAGAGGGATTAGCAGACTCCCCGCTGAGCAGGGAGCCCACTGGGTTTCCGGGATCATGACCTGAGCCAAAGGCAGATGCTTAACCAACTGAGCCACCCAGGTTCCCCCCAAAAAATCTATTTTAGAAGATCTGGTAGGTAATTAGAGGCAGTGATTAGAGGTAATCATCTTCCAAATCCTAAAATTTCAGATTTGCTGGAACCTAATTCATTCATTTTATGAATTAACTCTTGAATACTTACCATGTTTTAGGTACTTTGATGTTGGAAATAAAATAATTTAGCTAGCCAGACTCGTTCTCTACCCTTAACTAACTTACAGACTATTGGTAAGACAGGATTTAAGTACTTTTTTTTTTAAGATTTTATTTATTTATTTGAGAGAGAGAGACAGAGATAGTGACAGAGAGCACAAGTGGGGATTAGAGGGAGAAGCAGGCTCTCCACGGAGCAGGGAGCCCGATGTGGGGCTCGATCCCAGGACCCTGGGATCATGACCTGAGCCGAAGGCAGACGCTTAATGACTGAGCCACCCAGGCGCCCTAAATTTAAGTACTTACAAGTGTGCTGGGGATTTATAAACAGGGAAGTACAGAGTTTTTTGGGATACATATAACAGTGGGGAACTTGGCTAGTATAGAAATCCACAAAAAGCCTCCCAGAGGAAAGGATAAATTAAGAATTACTAGAGATTGGCTAGGCAGCAGATAAGGACGGGAGTGTCTCAGGTATGTGGTGGTCCAAGAGAGCAGCTTGTTTGAGGAACTAAAAGACTTAAAAGAACCATGATATTTTACAAATGAGAAATTGAAGCATAGGGAAGTTAAGTGACTTAGTTAAGTGACCTGGGATCACACAGCTACTTCACAGCAGAGCCAGGACTAGGAACCACCCACCTTCCCAACTGACCAGTTTTTTAAAGGTCCTATTCCAATGTATTTTACACTGACAATTGGTCTGTTGTTCATCCATTCCCCTAATTTATCCATTCATCCTTCTGTCTCTTACCAAGTTTATTTTCTCTGTAGTATCCATGACCACTTGACTATGTTACCAAAGAATATATAGGAAGACATTTTAAACATTAGGCATGTCATTGGGCATTTATAACTCTCTCACATGGCTTTTTGTATTCTATATTATTTTTGTTTTTGTTTTGTTTTAAAGATTTTATTTGTTTATTTGACAGAGAGAGAGGAAAGAGGGAACACAAGCAGGGGGAGCGGGAGAGGGAGAAGCAGGCTTCCCGCTGAGCAGGGAGCCCGATGCGGGGCTCGATCCCAGGCCCCTGGGATCATGACCTGAGCCGAAGGCAGATGCTTAATGACTGAGCCACCCAGGCACCCTCTATATTACTATTAAAGCTGGCTCACTGTGAAGTAAATATATGATATTTTTGAATATATGGACCATGTAGTGATAGGCAGGGTGTTTTACCTACTCCCCAGGCTTCTTAATCACTAGAATACTGTTTTGCTAGTTGTATGTTTAGGTAGAATCTGGAGTATTTAACTTAATATAGAAAGTTTAAATTATTTGGGGGCGCCTGGGTGGCTTAGTCGTTAAAGCATCTGCCTTCAGCTGAGGTCATGATACTGGGGTCCTGGGATCGAGCCCCTCATTGGGCTTCCTGCTCGGCGCGAAGCCTGCTTCTCCCTCTCCCCACTCCCCCTGCTTGTGTTCCCTTTCTCGCTATCTCTCTCTCTCTGTCAAATAAATAAATAAAATATTAAAAAAAAAAGGTTTTAAATTATTTGAATTTCCCTTGCCTGGGCAGGCCATTTCTTATCAGCCATAGGCCATTTTGCTAATACTTTGAGGCCCACCAATGTTCTTTATCCATGTAATTCTTTTTGTTCAGTGCTGAAACAGTTATTTTTCGGTTAACATTTATTGAGTACTGGGCAGTGTGTAAGACACTGAGTATACACCAGTACAAAGGTAGTCCTTGCTTATTTTCAAACTAACAGTATAATACACTATGAGAAGTACTTTGTGCTGTGGAGGCACAAGAGAGAGCACCCGATCTTGTTGGTGAAGTATGTACTCTTCCACTATCTTTGGGGCGAAGTGCTCCTGGTACAGGAACTGTACAAGTTCTTCAGGATGAGAAAAATGTCGGTATGCAAGTGATTTTTGGGGGGGGGGGGCTGGAAGATTAGAGTGCAGTGGTGAGAGATGAGGCTGGTGAGGTTAGTAGTAACATACTATGAAGGGCTTTCTAACCATGCACAGGAGTTTGCACTTTATTCTAAAGGCAGTGGGAACCTGTTGAATGTTCTTAGGAACAGTGACATGGCTAGATTTGTGCTTTGAAAATAATCATTCTGGCTCCAGTGTGACATGTCAGTATAATTATATACAAGTATTATGTTGTATTGAAGGTTTTATACCCAAATACTGGACAGAAACTGTTTCCGTGAGTTGTTTTCAACCTTATCAGAGCCAGTAACCATTTTTAAAAATATTTTATAACACTCTTTGACTTTTATGAAGTGATTTCATGATATAAAGAAATAAAAGGAGTAAAAGGGAAATAATTTATAAAAAACTATTTCTACATGTAAAATTTGGGTACCACTAATCTAGAACCTTGCTACTCAAGGTGTGGTTTCTGACCTGGTAGATTAGTATCCCCTGGGTGCTTATTATGTAAAGTCAGGCCCTGCTTCAGAGCTACTAGATCTGAATATGCAATTTAACTGGATCCTTAAATGATTTGTATGCATATTTAAGTTTGGGAAGTACTGTTTTTAAGTACACAATAAAATAGTAAGATGCTTGCATCTGTGTGCAGAATCACTGTGTGACACCTACAAAGGCAGATTGTTATAGGTATATGTATCGGCAATCCAGATACTATGAAAAGCCAATGATGTGATTTTTCTGAAATAACTCTTGGTATAATTCTGAACAAAGCACTTGTAGCCGTACCTTAATTACGTATTATTTGCTTTCCTATAAATTCAACATATGTCAAAACTGTAAGGAACTACTTTTGATTTATATATAATGTGGAATTTGTTTCTAGTTTCACTTAATTATAAATAGGTTTCTCAGCTACATGAATGTCTTGTAGAACATTCAAAAATTGTGCAGGACAATTCTTTACTGTGCAGGGCTAGCCAGAGCATTGTAAGCCATTCCTGGCTCCCATCCACTTAACATAAGCATGGCCTCCCAGTCATTTTGACAACCTCCCCCAATAAAAGCTCCCACAGATTTTTTAAATGCTCCCTTGAATGCTGCCTTCATTGAGAGCTACTACCATAAACTCAGATGTGATTTGAGATGCTGATGCAGCACAATGTGTGACCAGTCTGAACTCTTTGAAGCAGATATTTTGGTTCTGAAGCCCTGTGCTGAGTTGGTGTACATCCAGTTGGAATATTGAGTGCAGTTCTAAACGCCACCAGCTGGGAAACTTTTCAGAATAAACTCTTCCCTACTCATCAACCCTGAGACTTTGCTGTGTACAACCTGAGGGTCATTGCTTTTGCCACTTAATAGTCTCATTTGTCTTGGGGGATTTGGTGGAAAAAAAATTGAAAACCAATACAGTCACCTCATCTTATAATCCATTAAAATTGGCTATAAGAAACATAACAGCCTTGTACTTACAAGAACCTAAAGTAAAATGTGGTAAAAATAATTATGTTAATTAATTTGAAAACTGTTAAGAATTAATGATACCCCAGTCAGACTGTTTCACAAAGCTTTGATTCTTTCATATGCAGAACATACTAGCTAAGTTTTAAGTATGTGAGAATGTTATCAAATTAGAGTGTTTGGAAAGAATACTTTGCATACACATGGACAGGTATACACAGAATGCTTTCCTTGAGAGAGAGCTTGCTTTTTGGGAAGGTTGTAGGAATAGTAGATCTATAGATAAATTCTAGGAAAAGAACAAAATTTAATTTTGAAGTAGTTGTGAATTAAAAGGAGAGGTTTTTGTATCAAGTTACATATTAGTCAAATTAGCCAAGATCAGGTAAGTCTGTAAGAGTTAAATCAATGTATGTAGTGATCACGAAATGAAGTGACACAGGTGCGAGGGGGAATAACCACCAAGAAGTAACCAGGTAATAGAGAAAGAAATGTATAAATTTGTTTCCTCAGTTTTTTTCCATCCATCACCACATATATCACTGCATGCATATATGTTATTTACCAGGAAAAGGGAGGAAAAAAACAGGAGATAATCAAGAAGTGGTAAAATTGACACAAAGAAACTAAGTACACACACACACACACACACACACACACAGCATGAAGCTAAGGTTGAACATTGTTACCATATTTGCAATTTGTGGTTTAACATAATATATCAAATGTTATATACAATAGATTTATGAGTAAAGACTCTACTATGTTCTTGAGTTTCTGTCTCTGTGTAATGCATAATTATTTTGGTCATTGTTTTGAGAATTACTTTTTTATAAGGATTATTAACGAAAATGTGGTTAAGATACGTGATCTGTTTGGTGTTTAAGCACACTGTGAAGGTAGGATCCCATGGATTATTGGTGCAGATATTAGAACATAGTGGGTAATACCAAATTTAGGGAGTCTTAGTTTCCATATAGTGGGTCAATGAAAAATAGCTTTTAGACTCTGTTGATGATTTCCTATAGGTTAACCATACAAATTGTAATTAGGAAATAGTTACATTTATTAGAAAACTTTAAAAATTATTTTCCTTTCACTGAAGAGGGATGGGGTATGTCCCCATTAAAAGGATAACATTGATGAAAATGGGGACACATTATACCTTATTTCTTCTTCTTTTATAGGTTTTAAAACGACCAGAATATTTTGGGAAGTTTGGTAAAATACATAAAGTTGTCATCAATAATAGCACATCATATGCAGGCTCACAGGTAACTAATTATAGGGATTTTTGCCTTTCCTCCCCGTGGTCTAGGCTTGGCCTGGGCTGTTGAAAATCTGCTTTCTGGGATTTTCTAGAAAGCCCAAGGGTCAAGGATTTGAGCAGTGTAGTGACCTCTACTGGTGGGGTGGGGGAATTTCTGGTGCTCATCTGACTTCAGGACTTAAGAGTGAATTGATAGTAGTAAGAAATAGTAAAACAAAGATTAAGTGATGGTTTGGGGGGGGAGTTGAGTCTATTATCAGGCAATGTAATAATTAGATGATGATTTCTAATTAATATTTTCAGATATTGAAAACTTAATAGAGCGTCTTTGTTATGCTGGTATTAGCAGATAGAATACTCGCAAATTGCATTTATTTTTGGGAGAACATAATTTGACACGTTGTCTTTAAATTTTATTTTTTTAAATCTAATTTTCAAAGTTTGTTGTAACCTTGACGAGCCTGTCAAATGATTTACAAAAATAAATACTAAGCCAGAGATGATATGTTATCCATATTATATTTTAGTCTACTTAAAATCAGATAAGTACAGTTGTTTTAAGATGAGCTAGGATATGGTTTAATCAAAGCTACTACTATTTCTGATTATTGTCATTATTTTTATTTTTAAGATTTTTATTTATTTGACAGAGAGAGAGAGAGTGAGAGAGCAGGAACACAAGCAGGGGGAGTGGGAGAGGGAGAAGCAGGTTTCCTGCTGAGCAGAGAGCCCAGTGCGGGGCTGGAGCCCAGTGTGAGCCTTGATCCCAGGACCCTAGGATCATGACCTGAGCTGAAGGCAGATGCTTAGCGACTGAGCCACTCAGGCGCCCCTATTATTAATGATAGTTGTAGTAAAGGTCTTAAGAATTCCCTAGGCAGGGTACAAAGGAATTGATTTTTTTTTTTAGAGTTTTTCTTGAATTTGAAACTAGTAACAGTGTGTTTTCACTTTAGGGTCCAAGTGCCAGTGCTTATGTAACCTATATCCGGTCAGAAGATGCTCTCAGAGCCATACAGTGTGTGAACAATGTGGTAGTAGATGGCAGAACACTTAAGGTAATATGGTCCTCTTGATTTTTTTTTAAGGGGGAAGAGATAAAATGTAAATAGGGGAGAGCCTACCATTTACTTATTATATTTGGAGGGAATCTATTTGAAGATTGCTTCTTAAGCATCTGTACTAACCTATGACAGCTAATTTGTTTACTGCCAGCTTATGTAGGGTCTTGTTTTACCAGGTAGGAATAAACACATTCATTATCAGGTGATAATCTTTAAAAATCTATATTTACACATAAATCTTATTTTGTGAAAATAGGATCTATTATTCATATCAGAAATAAAGAGTGGTTCTAATTTGTCGTCCTTAGGGATTTGGCCATTGATCAATTAAGGTTTGAGTAAAGGGTCGCACCAAGCCATGCTTTATATAAATGGAAAAAGGATGACATAACTAGAAAAAAGAATTTGCCTAGGTGCCTAACTTTTGTAACGTGAAATAGATTTTGTGTATCTTCCCTTCTGATCTCTAGGGAGGATGATTTGGGTACTCAAGTTCTGGAAAACTTAGGTGTTTTCTTTAGTTCTTCCAAAGGAGCATCATCTTTAATAGATCCTGCTAGCAATAGTTTAGTTCTCCAGTATTCAGAGTCATACCTCTTGTTTTGTCATGTCTGTGCCTCATTTGAGGTGAAGTGAAAACAACAAACATGGAAATTCTCATTGTGCCAATTCACATTTTGGGTCCTTTTTCCCCCCCCTACTCTTTCTGCAGGCATCTCTAGGTACAACAAAATACTGCAGTTACTTCTTAAAGAATATGCAATGTCCAAAGCCCGACTGCATGTATCTACATGAATTGGGGGATGAGGCGGCCAGCTTCACAAAAGAGGAAATGCAGGTAGTAAAATAATGTGAATTAAAACTTTGCAGAAAAGGGAGTATTTTTCTTTATAAATTAAAATTGCAAAAGCAGGAACTAGGGATTTAATTTTTTTAATCGTTATTAAAGTAGCATTTTCCAGTGTTCCATGGAATGTCAGTTCTACAGAATATTGTTATAATAAAAATGGGTCTGTAGTCCATTAAGTTTGAAAATGCTAGATTAATGAAGATAGTTTTCTTTCCTGCAGGACTTCTCAGAGTCTTTAATATGCTAATACATATCCAAGAAGGGAATGTACAATCAGAACTTAATTGACCAAGAAAAGCATTTTGGTAAATGCTACTTTAGGGGGAATATCAACAAAATGGAAGCTAAGTGGGTTACTGTAATTATGAGGTTTTTTTTCCTTCCTGATTTCCACTCTTTATAGAACATGCTAGAAAATAATAACCTATCAAATGTTGCTGATAACCTAACATTTTTATAAAATGATTCTTTCCATGAAAGTGTACTGAGTCAGTGTCCTGTGAAGGATGAACTGAAGGTTTATCATCCTGTGTTCTTTTTTATATTTCCTGTTCTCTGTTCTCCTTTCAATTTGTAGTATTATAAACATGACAAATAAAAATGTTGACCATATGCATATTAAATGAGGATTATACCAAAGCACAATGCTGCACTTCCCTATTAACAGATGAGGACATCAGATTGTTGCTGTGGACTTTTGCACATTTAGAAGGTAGAGGGGCATTGATTGCCACCTTGGACTCTCCATGTCAAACTAGAGAAAGTCTAGTAGGGTCTCCGTTAAGAGCAGATTGTTAAAATGAAATATTACCCTTTTTTTGACTTGAAGTTATTTCAGATTTAAGTTCCGTTATAATCAATTCATTGGAATTTCTTGATTATACTTCTTTATGGTCCAAAAACAGTGTTAAAGTAAGGTCTCTGTGATATTTAATGGGAACAGATGACTTCTTACTTAATAAATGCTTGTTGATTTTTTTTTTCTTTTTTTGGGTGAAACATTCTGGATAGAATCTAAGGTTGAACCATTCCAAACTAAATTTTGACATGTAGAGAATATGCATTACTCATGCTACTATTACAGTGAAAATTTCTGTCAATAATCTCAGCCCTAGTTGATCTCATTTTGAGTATTATTGAATTGTAAACGAAAATGGACAGACAGTCCCATGGAACTGACTTGTAATGGGATTTAACCTGTCTTTGTGGACTGCCCCTGTAAAATCATTTGAGTATTAGTTTTAGTTCTTAGTTGCTAATGAAAGCCATAATATCTCCTGAAGTATTGATTGTAGAAAAAAATTTCAAGGCTATTCAATGTTTTAAAGGTATAAAATCCACATCTCACTGTATTTTTTTCTTAATAATTTAAAATTCATATTGTGATGAATATCTGCTCTTCTTTATGTGAGCTTAAAATTAATTTGAAAAGAGGTTTCTTTATTAAAACAGTTCCTCTATATAGAAAGGAAATTTGAACAAATTATATCATGGCAAAAGTCAGATCTTTCCTCGTTACTGCATAATTGAAAATTTAGTACCATATGAAATATTTATAGATCCATTTGGAACAGGCAGGAGCCCCCTCAAAACAGGGCACAGTGCATTGTGCAATGTATATGACACAGTCCTACTTGATTAGATGATGTTGCCCTTGCTTGTTTTTATTGTTTTGTGTTTGTTTTGATCTGTACCTTTCTGGGTTTGGTTTTCCTGTAACATCTAGTTAGACACACTTCTAAAATAATTAAACAATCCTGAAGGTAAGTAAAAATGTCATTTCAGTCATGATATACATGTAAATCGTAAAAAGTTATTCAAAGTAATTTCATTGTAACTTATTTTTTTTAAGATTTTATTTATTTTTGAGAGAGAGAGTGTGGCACGAGAGGAGGGAGGAAGGGCAGAGGGAGAAGCATACTCCCCAGTGAGCAAGGAGCCCGATGTGGGACTCCATCCCAGAACCCTAGGATCATGACCTGAGCCGAAGGCAGACGCTTAACTAACTGAGCCACCCAGGCACTCCTCATTGTAATTTATTTTTGTGTATGACTAATTTCCGGAGGCAGTCTTTGCCTAATTTCTCCGATAACGTTTGTGACATTGTCTTCTGATAGACAGCATCCAACTACGGAAATACAGATTTTGTTGTATATAGAACACTGATCTTCAAACTTTCTGTAAAGAGCCAATTAGTAAATATTATAGGCTTTCTGGGCCTATCTGGTCTTTGTAGTAAATACTCAAATTCTTCTGTTGTAGCAGAGACAAGCCATAGACAGCAAGTAAATGAATGAGCATGACTATTCCAATAAAACTTTATAAAAACAAAGGGGCTGGGGGTGCCTGGGTGGCTAAGTTGGTTAAGTGTCTGCTTTTGGCTCAGGTCATGATCCCAGGGTCCTGGGATTGAGCCCCACATTGGGCTCCCTGCTCAGTGGGGAGTCTGCTTCTCCCTCTCCTGCTCCCCCCTGCTTGTGCTCTTTCTCTTTCTCTCTCTAATAAATAAATCTTTAAAAAACAAAAGGGGGCGCCTGGGTGGCTCAGTTGTTAAACGTCTGCCTTTGGCTCAGGTCATGATCCCAGGGTCCTGGGATTGAGCCCTGCATCACGCTCCCTGTTCCATGGGAAGCCTGCTTCTCCCTCTCCCACTCCCCCTGCTTGTGTTCCCTCTCTCTCTATTTGACAGAGAGAGAGGGAACACAAGCAGGGGGAGTGGGAGAGGGAGAAGCAGCCTTCCCGCCGAGCAGGGAGCCTGATGGGACTCAATGCGGGACTCAATCCCAGGACCCTGGGATCACAACCTGAGCCGAAGGCAGACGCTTAACGACTGAGCCACCCAGGCGCCCCTAAATAAATAAAATCTAAAAAAAAAAACAACTAGAGGTCCTTTTCAACCTATTTTCCCATCATTTATTTAAGAATGAAGTCTTCTAACAGGCCATTACAAAATTTTCAGAAGATCACCAAAAAATATTAATTTCTCTTTTTAAAAGAGATGAACACATTGTAAATAGTACACAGATAAAAAGTCTTAATACATTTTTCATTATCTTGACACACAGTAAGAACTCCATTACTTTGTTTGTACATAAAAATTAATGTATTTTAAGCTCCAGACCAGGGAATGGCAGTTTACTACCACACAGGCACCCCAGGCCTCTAGTTTTTTGAGCTGGCAAAAAAGTTGTCTGTAATATGCTTTTCTGCATAATAAATGGTTGATGAAATCCTTAATTAATGGCATATATATCATGTAGTTTTGTAGGAAGAACTTTCATTGGTCTAGCAGTTCTGTGACATCATCCTCACGGGGTTCTCTATGCCATGAAAAATCCTTACATGTTTATTTAGGATATCTTTAATAATTGAGAAAGTAAGTCGTCATTTTATGCCAGCCATTTTGTGAACCCCACTGCAGTTTTAATTTCTTCTTCCATTAGGCGGGTAAGCACCAAGAATATGAACAGAAACTACTTCAAGAATTATATAAGTTAAACCCCAATTTTCTTCAACTATCTACGGGTTCAGTTGATAAGAATAAGAACAAAGTGACACCACTGCAGAGGTATGATACGTAAGTACCGATATTAGTATAATCAGACACCTTATCTTCATGTCTGTCGATCCCCTCTTCTCATTTTACATCTTCTTCAGGCACAATTCTTCTTGACAGTGTCTATCATTTGTGCAGAATTGTTGCATTATATAGGAAATGTTGAGTCACAGTTTCTGGGTTTGAATGTTTGCTGCCTGCCGCTCCCTGGTAATACTTCAGATGAGCCTCTTGATGGCTACCCCTTTGCGTTGATTTGCAGACTGCCCTGGACCCTGAGAACACCCTCCTTGAAAAAAAAGGAATTAAGGGATGTTGGTTATTGAAAGGCTCTTATTACCTAATTAAGGTTTCCCCTGATATAATGAGGGGGAAAATATTGTAAAAGGGGGAGTGGGAGCTTTCTGAAGCATTGTATGTTGGGGACCCAAATATCTGTGGTTTTTTAGTCGCAGGAATCATTAAAGTCTTATATCCTCTGAACGAGAAGGATTGAGAATCTTACTCATCTTACGAAACAACTTACTTTTGCGTAGACCTGTATTATGTCAATGTTTAAATGAATTTATAGTCTAAGGTACAGAGTCTCATTCTGATATGGTGATCTTCACATTTTGGGTTATATTTGGTCATGGCCTGTCAGAAAATGGTATGATTAATAAAAACAATAATTTTGGGGTTGTACTCTGTCCCGAATGTTCCTTAAGTTTGATGTGTTAGGATCTTGTTAATGTTTTTTAATTTGGTAAGTTTAATTTTTATAAAATGAATTCATTTGAAGTAAATAGCTATAATTAGTTTAGATATGTTCATTTTCTTTCTTTCTTTCTTTTTTTTTTTTAGCTTATTCCAAAGTTAAATTTGTTTAAAGTGATATTCTAAATGTCTGGTTGTTACTTGTTATAGTCCAGCATTTAGCACTAAAGTAATATAAGGGCCATTTTTCAAATGTAGCTAATAATAACTACATATATTGTCATCAGGTCAGTTTCTTTAGTAACCTATTCTTGTATTTAAATTCTTGAAGTCCTTGTTAAGTTTATTCACTTTGATGGTAAAGATTATTTAAAAGGCTATTCAAGTTTGTTTATATACACACACACACACATATGCACATGTACATACATGTGTATATAAATATATATTAAAGAGGCCACAGAGCAAAACATAAAATTACTGTATAGTAAACTATGTGAAATTTGTTTATATCAAAGCTAAGAATTAAAGCTAAGTCCAAAAGAAATCTTTTTGGGATGATAAGCTTTGTCCCTTTCTGTTGATCTTTTTGTACCTACCCCTTTCTACTCCTGGATGTTTACTTTGTTATGAACCATATTCTATTACTTACCTCATTGGTTGCTAACTCAGTAGTGCTTCATATAAGAATGGGGTTATCATAGTAAAAATTTTCTTCAGATGCTTTTAACGTTTATATACATCACTGTTTTCATTAAAAATGTCATTCTAATTAAAACCATATTCTGGGTTTATAGCCCCTAGAGAATTCAGACCAGAAATTTAAAATTTAGATCATCTCTTTGAGATAATGTTTTTTATTTCCCAAATATAAAAGTAATATTGTATGTGATCTCAATACTCAAGACATTTGCCCTGAAAATGATTTGATGTGTTTCCTGCAGTGTGTATTTCTTTGTAGTCCTTTTCCTTCTTGTAAATGTATATATACACAAAATACATTTGTTTGTTATGTTTTAAAACTTAACACTCATTATTATGAATATTTTCCTTTGTCATGAAAACAATTTTTTATGGCTGCATGGTATTTCATTATACATGAGCATTTGAAATTTATTAAAGCAACCTCCTGCTGGTGTATACTATTTTCATTTTGGTGCTCTTATTTATGACACTGTGATGAACATTTTTTCATATAAACATTTTGGTTATAGCTTTGATGCTCTTTGAAGTAGAACTGCTGAGTCAAAGATGATGAGTACCTATTTCCTTGAATTGAATATTTTTTCTGCACATTTGCCAATTTGATAAAAAAAAGCTGTCTCATTTTAATTTGTATTTGATTAATAGAGTGAATGAACTTCTTATAGATTGTGAATTCATATCTGTTTGTTATGTTTTATTGATGTATTTAAGTGTTGTATGTGCATTATACAGAATTAACTTCCCCAATTAGTTGACCAGTCTACTTGTGTTTTAAAATACTTGAATTTATGAATCAATTGTGGAAGAATTTCTATTCTGCAATATAACATTGAGTGTTCTAAACCAATAGCATGGTATATCTCTCCAAGTCTTTTGTGTCTCTTAGGAAAGAATTTGTTGATGTCTTTTCCCTGCTTTATTGTATTGCATCTCCCACCACCACCTCTTCCTATTTGAGAATTCCAAGGCTAAAAATTAAAGACCAGTTTTAGAAAGTGGTGCTATCAGGCATCCTTGTCTCATTCTTTATAGGGCTATCTCCCTATTTTATAAGGCTGTCTCCAGTGTTTTATTCACTTGTAAATGTGATTTTGACCATTTATTTGAAATAAGTATTTTTAATCACAATATGAGAATACCTTGTTATTTTTAATTTGTTGAGTTTTTTTCTTTAGATTGAAAGTGAGAATTGACATTTACTAAATGTCCTTTTGGCATTTATAACAAGTATTTAGTTTTTCTTCAACGTATTTTTTGGTAATCAGTTATCATTAGATTTACTAATATATTACTGACTTTGCCTTCATATAAAGTGTAGTCAGAACCCATTTATAACTGTTTCAGTAGCAGGAGGGGAATGTCCTGGATACCACGGAGTAAAGGAAGGAGAAAGGGAGATATAAAACAAAGTACTCATTTAATAACTGCCCAAAGCCAGTTGTTACTGAACCTCAGCTAGGACCAGAATAAATCTTGACACGGTTACCTGTGCTTTGCATAAGTACACAGTATAGGAAGGTTTCTTTGGGGATGGAGAAGGGTTGTTTTTTGTTGGTTTAATTCAGGTCCCCCAAATTTAAGGACATGTGATGGCCCAAGGTAGAGAGAGTTCTTGTTTTGGCAAGCTCCTATAGCTTGTTTTCTTTCCATGCTACCCCTGCAAAAGATTAAGTTCAACTGACTGTCAGTGCTGCTGAAGGTCTGCTTTGGTCTCTATTTCCACATTGTCACTGTATAGGGTATAGTGGTAGGGATGAATTTGTAGATAATTTTCCTTCTTCCCATAGGGAAGACTTGTCAAGTTAGAAAGATGAACAGTATGACTCTTTCCATGGTCCTACCCAGGAGATATGTTTTTCTTATTCAAGATAAGTTGAGAATTAAGCTTTGTAGGGAAGAATGAAAAAGAATGGTTTCTTTCTGTCTCTTCTTGTCATTCACATGTAGTGAATAGCAGTTATACAAGAACTGCAGGAAAACAAAACCTGGAACCTTTATGAATTGATAGTAAACCTAAAATGTAGTTTCCTCTTATTTCTAATTAAGCCAGAGTACAAATATTAAGAGTATCATGCTACTGAATCCTCACTGAACCCTGACATTGTCCTGATACAGATATAGAAGTGAAGTTTCTGTAGTGTGTCTTACTCCTATTTCACTTAAGTGAACAGTAAATTATGAAAGGGTATATGCCATTTGTTCTCACCACCCCCCATTATGGTGCATTCCAGAGTATATCAGTCAGATGGAGTATAGATGTGCTGGTTTTCTATATTAATCAGTTACTTTGAAATGAATACAAATGACAAGAATGGGGAATAAGGAAACCATGCAGTAGTGATGCTTAGTTAAGGACTGGCTATTTTAAGTTTGGGGCTTTGAAATACCTTCATTTAGGTTGAGACACTATTTGTGCCCCAACTGAAAACTGTGAAAGGAATAGTAGCTAGATGGGCTGCTGTGCCCAGGGACAGTGAGTAGGCCTACATAAGAATTTGGTGAGCACATTATTGGGTATATAGATCACTCAAGGTAAATGGTTATGACTTGACATTGTGGCTTAGACAAGCCGCCATTGAAGGTGTGGGGATGTTCAGCTTTAGACTGAGCTGAGAAGAGGGTTGGTGTCTTTGTGTGCCTTTAGTCTCCGTTGTCCTGTGTGGGAGATACCATTGTTCTCTTGCCAGACCAGGGACTGGCAGGGGCCCGGGACGCCATTGTTACCTTATTTCTGGCAAGGAAAACTGGGACTGGCAAGGTTCAGAGAGTTTAAGTAATTCACCAGTATCCCACACAAATAAGTGATAGACTGGATTCTGACCAAAGTTGCTGTTGCTTTTACCCCCAGGCTCATTCTCCCACTCTGCCACTGCTCAGTCTAGAGGAGGTAAAATTCTTAAGAGACTTTAACTTGAATCAAAAACTCTAACATGAATCAAACTAATTGACTTAAAGAAGACTATGTCACAACTAATATGTAGTTTGACCTTGAAGATCTCGGGTCTGGAGGTTTATTATCTCAGGATAAATTGGATATACTATACATCCCAGGAATGAATGGTATTTTAAGCAAAAGCTTTCCTAAACTACACTTTGGTGGCAATAGAGGAAAAGCTAAAGAAAGGAAAATGACTATAGGAATTTGTCAGTTTTTATTACATCGAAGGAAAAATGCATGTCTTTTTAAAAACGTAGCTATATCTTTATTGAAAATCAAGTATAAGCTTTGATAGACTGCGGGCATAGTCAGAGTGCCTTTTTTATTCAACGTAATGGGAGTGGTCCCTGCATGAATCTTGTTCTCCTACCCTGACATCATTTAGTCTGGTTTGATTTAGAAAAGGTATGGTCCCAGAGACTTGTTGAAAATAGTCTTGGGTAGAGCTTGTTAAATCATGAACAGGCTTCAGCACATCTGTGAACTCTCTGAAATTTTATCAGATTTTGTGTGTGTGTACATTTTTCTGGAGAGAAGACCCATGACTTAATAATAATTATAAATTGCACCTGTGTGTGTTAGTACTTACAGATAGAAGTGATTTCAGCAGTGATTCTCAAACTATGGACAGGCGCCATGAGAGATGGCCTACATTTTTTTTTTTTTTTGGTAGAATGGATCC